CGGCACATGCCTCGACTGCGTGCGCCACCCAACGTCCGATCGCCAGTCCAGGTCTTGTTTAGTGGCAGACCACCCGGTCTGAGTCTTGCTAAGCGGTCGACCACCCAGTGCGGGCCTTGTGCAGCGGCCGACCACCCAGTCCGGGTCTTGCTAAGCGGTCGACCACCCAGTCCGGGCCTTGTTCAGCGACCCACCACCCAGCCCGGGTCTTGCTAAGCGGTCGATCACCCAGTCCGGGCCTTGTTTAGTGTCTGACCACCCAGTGCGAGCCTTGTTTAGTGACCGACCACCCAGTCCGGGCCTTGTTTGGTGGCCGACCACCCGGTCCAAGTCTTGCTAAGCGGCCGACCATCCAGTTCGGGCCTTGTTGAGCGGCGACCACCCAGTGCGAGCCTTGTTTAGTGACCAACCAGCCGGTCCGGCCCGTCCCGTGACCGGTCACTCTGCCTCGGCGGCGCCGAGCGTGCGCTCCACCTTGAGGCCGGTGAGCAGGTAGCCGCCACCGCCCGACATGTTGATCTCCGGGTGTGTCCGCTCGGGCAGTACCTGCGGCCAACGGCGGTGCGCCGTCAGCTCAGAGCGCAAGCAGAGGTCAGACCAAGGGCTCCCGGTCCGGAGAGGCGGCGCTGCGGACCAGGGGCTCCCGCTCCGAGGGGGGCGAGAGGAGGATCGGGGAGGCGGCGCGGTCGCCGCGCTCCGCCAGCGTTGTGAGAAGCACAGGCGAGCGATGCGGTCGGCCATGTTCGGCGATGACCCGTGCCGTTAGCGGGTGAGGCGTGCTATGAAATTACTCTTAGGATACCCCGCGAACTGATTCCATATTCCTTTTAGCATTGGTACTATTTGGCAAATGCAGTGGTGGCACAAACGGTCAGGGCTCTGCTCTCTTCCTAAAAATATCAATCTCACCTCAAATTTCCAATCAGCATTCTATTGGCAGGGCGCATAAGCGTCTGGGATAGGCGGGCTTGAAGCACTTGAGGCGTGCAACTTTGCGAACACCGTGTTACCCTGATAATTCCTAAGCCAGGTCTCCGTCACCCTCAGCATGATGCAGCCCTTGGCTTTCATCGCGAAGTAACATTCCAGGAGAGGCTGAAAACAAACCGATGATGTAATGCAGCCAGGTATTATGCACATACATTACAATGACGGACGCATATCCAAGAAGCGGGCGTGTGCCACGATTCCAATTTTTGACCACGTTTTCCGTATTCTCACCGGCCCGACAGAACGTGACACCGTTGGTAAGCGCAGCTGGACCAGAAAGAACTTTTCAACTTTCGATTCATGGTTCACGGCCGCCAATAATCATGCTACCATACCGCCATCAATATCCTGCATATTGATGATAATAGAGACGCCTTACGCCCGGATGCAGTCGTATCTATAATGCCACGCACATCGGCACCTGTCCCGGCGCCGTTACGAGCTCGCCCCGGCCGCCCGTGCGTGCCGTACCTCCTTGTAGGGACAGAAGACGGCGAACGGCCGCGACGGGCGCCACGAAGTCGATGAGGTAGCGCAGCAGGTTGAGCGGGTGCTGGCGGCAGCACAGCAGCAAGCCGTCCATGTCGGCCGCTGACAGCAGCTCCAGCGCCAGCGCCGAGTCCTCGGCCCTGGTCCGCGCGTACTGCGGCACGGCGCACCATATGGCTACGGCGTGCGGCGTGGAGCTGCACTGGTGCCACGCGGCTACAGCACGTGACGTGCACGGGCGAGATTCAACGAAGTTCGCTGCGCTTCGCTTTTCTCTACACAACATAGCGTGAGTATCATTTTAGCAAGTTACTCGTCATAGATGCCGAGGACGTTATATGGTCCTTATGTCTGTACTTATAACTGTACATCTCAACAAATAACACTTTTGGACTTATACACGGATGCGCGGCAGCTTTACAAATAACCCTGGTACACCATAAATCAAGCGATTTCTCTACCACATCGCAGTGCGCATTGGTGTAAACGCGTGCGTACTGCGCATCTGGGACGTGACTATTGGTTACCATGGAAACGTTGATAAGGGTATCATGCCAGTACCGGCGTTTGTCTATAAACCGCACCACGATCGCCTCTCACCTTCGACTTTTTGGGCGCACTGCCGGCCTGCTCATCACTGAGCCGACGTTTCCGTGGCGCCTCCGTCCCGCTGTTGCCGTCTGCGACCGGTTCAGCCGCGCCGGGCGCACCTCCCGCGTCCTTCGCTCCCTCAGCGCCGACACTGGGCAGCACCTGGTCCTTCTCCACTCCCGCAGCGCCGACACTGGGCAGCACCTGGTCCTTCTCCGCTCCCGCAGCGCCGACACTGGACAGCACCTGGTCCTTCTCCGCTCCCTCAGCGCTGACACTGGACATCACCTGGTCCTCAGCGGGCGCCGCGCCAGCGCCAGTGCTGGATGCGGCGCCGGCGACCACCGACGACACCGCCACACCGTCACAGCTGGGGGCCGCCTCACCGCCGCCCACTGGCGTCACTTCGGCCCCGTTAGCGGGGGCCACCTCAGCGCCGGCAGGGCACGTCGCCCCGCCGCCGTTACTGTGGGTGGCCTCGTCAGCGGTCGGTGGTGCCGCGCCGTCAGCGAGCGTGACCTCCACACCGCCAGCGGCGCCCCTGCCGCTGGGGTCAGCCGGGACCGAGCCGGGGGGAAGGCGCGACGTCAGCGTCGGCAGGTCCAGGCAGGTCAGGCACGCCAGTTCAGCCTCGCTGAAGTTGATCGCGTCCACCGCCTGCCTGCGAACCGGCCGTGAGGCGGTGTTGAGCGTGCATCGCTGGTGGGAGGCGCCGTGCTCATGCTGTCATGTGCCACTGCTGGGCTTTAGTGGACTCATCACGAAAGCACAATTGCGTCACAATTGTGCAGCTCATCAAAAACCGTATCAATATATTCTGCAAGCATATCAAACAGTTTTAGACGAACAAGTTGCATACGTAATGGTCTTCGCCAATAGCACACCAGTCACTCATGTGACCCACTCACCACTGACTCACTCACCCACACACCTCTGTTCTAAACCTCCCTGGGCCTGAAAGAGGGGCCCCAGCGCTGGGGTGCTCACCTCTGAGGTACACCTCCCTGGAAGAGGTGTAGCTCACCTCTGAGGCACACCTCCCTGGAAGAGGTGCAGCTCACCTCTGAGGCACGCCTCCCTGGAGGAGGGGTATTGGCGCTGAGGTGCTCACCTCTGAGGCACACCTCCCTGGAAGAGGGGTATTGGCGCTGAGGTGCTCACCTCTGAGGTACATCTCCCTGGAAGAGGGGTAGCTCACCTCTGAGGCACACCTCCCTGGAAGAGGGGGTATTGGCGCTGAGGTGCTCACCTCTGAGGCACACCTCCCTGGAAGAGGGGTAGCTCACCTCTGAGGCACACCTCCCTGGAAGAGGTGTAGCTCACCTCTGAGGCACACCTCCCTGGAATAGATGCACCTGCGCTGGAGTGCTCACCTCTGTGGCACGCCTCCCTGAAAGAGGTGCACCAGCCGGCCACGGCCGCCCAGCCGCTCCAGCACGGCGGCCACGACCACGCCCAGACAGCCGGACTCGAGCAGCAGGTACCGGCCGCCCGCACGCACGCTGCACGCAGTCAGCAGCTGACTCAGCGAGTCCACCCGCAGGTTCCTGCCGAGGTGGTAGACACGATGGGTAATGCCGGCAACAATGATCAAAATCGTAGAAACAGAAATAATAATGGTGTCGCTGTTACTTACACTAGTTCTGCACAATACGATTATAATATTAAAACATTATGATGACATCAGCATAACAGCATCGCGATGTACATATATATATATATATAATATATATATATATATATATATATATATATATATATATATAAGCCTTACAAATACATGGCATCGACAACTGAAATAATTTTACATCGCGGTTTCAGGCACCAGGGCCCGGTCAAGATCCCGCAGGCTGACCGGGGTCGCCGGCCAGGCACACAGCGGGGCCACACAACAGTCTTCAGCCGACGTTGCGAGAACATAAGCTAGCATCACAACGTACTCGATTGGCGTCGTGCCGGGACATCCAATGATATCACGGCACACGCTAGCTAGCGATGTCGCGTCTCATAAACTCCACCCTAGGTTTATGCCGGGGTGTATGCAAATGCACACGACTGCACGGAACGCTATCGTAGCAACCGAATCGTGCATTCTAGTGCAAGTAGTGTCTGACCATTCGACACAAAAAACCGCAATGAGACGGGGAAGAGATAAAGACACCGGAACGAGCGACGATGCTGGAACACAAGATGAGAACATATCCCAGGTCCAGTAAGATCCAAATATCCCCAGAAAGAGGGTGTAAGGGACAGAGAAGTACGGTAATGGAGAAGAGGGGATGCAGACCGCATGGCGAATGCAGAAACGATGCTAAGAATAAAGAGGAGAGAATGAATATAGGAATCAATAGAGGTAAAGGCATACCACAAAGAAGAGAAATACGAGTGATACAGCAGCTCCACGCCATACAGTGTGGTGCTGCTGTATAGCAACTGACATGATTTTCAGCGGGTCCTGCATGTAGTACATACTGGCGACCACAACGGGCGGTGGGCTCGTGCACGCTGATGAATTCAAAATATTTCTTCTGCTTCTTGCGTACGTACTTCGCCTGTGAATACTCAGTCTTTCCCTGAATGAGCTGAAACAAACCAGTAGTGTTCACGGGCGCCAGACAGCGGACGCAATACACATATCTCGCTTCTAAACAAGCAACGCGTCTCCATCAGCACCATGCCCCCAACATCCCACGCTAACAGCGACATATCAGTCAGCAAAATCCCCGACGCGTCCCGCCCTCAGGCAATAGCGGCACAGAAGTCGGTTATTAGTCGAGCATAGGCTTCGAATTGCCTCCCCTCGAAGCAGACTATACACTGTGACGATCTAACGACTGCCCTACTGCAATGTCCGACGCCCACGCCGATCATTAAAAGAAACACTTTCCCAAATGCACAATGAAAACCGAGTGGCGGAGGCGAGGCCAAGCTTACGTGCTGTTGTCAACGATGGTGTTGACGATCTCCTTCCCGGTCACCCCCTGGTCCCTCATCGCCATGATGTTCTCACGTGTGAGAGACTGGGAGCTGGGGTCCGCCACCAGGTTCCTGTTGTCGGCGGCGCTCTCGTCTGAGGACAGCACGTGTCGAAGGTAGACGGCGGGCGACAGGAGCCCGGCCACACAGTCTCCGACGGCGCGCAATGGGACGCAGCTGCAGACCACCTCAAACTGCACTAGAAGCTGGAAATTGTTTGCGAGAGGCCCAGAAACCAGCGAACAGCGTGAATAGGCAAATGGTTCCAAGTTCTGACTTTACTACAGGCCTGCCGCAGTCATTGTTAACTTGACAAACTTTTCGGAACACATAAGACACAAGAAAAAAGGACATATCTTCCGAATCATAACCATACGTTAATCATGTAATGATGCTACTGAAATGCAAACCCAGCAGGGTATTAATATATTGAGAACGTCAGATTTGCAGTAGAATCTGATCTGGACATTCACACAGTACAGATGGCAAGGTGGCATCTGACCTGTGCTGATGACATCTGCCAGGTCCTCCATCCGCTGAACGGGCTCGGCCTGCAGCAGACGCTGGCGACCAGTGCCTGGGCGCAGCTTGAACTGGGTGCCCACTGGGTGGCCGAGCAGGCCGGCCACGTCCACAGCCGTCCTGCCCAGCTGGCACTGTCTACAGCACCATGGGTGGCATGAGCAGACACACAGACAAACTATTACTCTACACAATGACCCTCAGCTGCTGGACATAGTGTAGTAATATGTAGGTGGCACAACAGGGGCACAGAACATGCCCCCATAAAGTGTCATTCTGGTTAGGGCTTCAGAATATTTTACAAAAGCTTTGGGAACAGCAAGACACTCATCAAAAACACAACACTCATTGACCTCTACTTACTTCTGGGTCTTCAGTTTGGCAAGCTTCATGAATGAACCTTTGGATGACAATGTAGTTTTTTGCCCTCAGCTATGATGTGGTCATCATTCCTGGGACCAGCCATTGTCTCATTCATTTTTCCTATGGGAGAGAATTCAAAATTATCCCAATGCATTCTGAAAATTTATCAGAACAAAACATGTTAGGAATCCCGTAGAACATCAGCAGGTATAAATGTCATAAGTGGTATGTAAATATTACCAGTTTTCAGCAGGACATCTATATGGCATTAGCTTCGAACCATTGCAAATGCCCATAGCAAAGCAGTATTGAACCTGCAAACATTTGTTACCAACTGATCATTGCACAAATCAGAGTAATACAACAGATAAACTTAACTGCTTGCACCACCCTAACAAATCTCAAGATGTTCTGGTTTTAGCAGCCAGAAAACAACCCAGCATCTAGCTGTAGCTATTTTAAGATAAAACACCACAGAAACACAGCATAAAGTAAAAACTCAGTGCTTGTGCACTTCTGCCACCACCACAGCATGAACCATACAACCGAGGCATTTTCATTCTTCACCTGCCAGAGACATGCTGGACATTGGACATACTGTTAGTGGTGGCTGAATCTCACAACAGACCACTCCTCTTTAACCAGGTATAGGTGCATTTAATCCTGTGTCTTACTATAGACCAGTCTGCAAAAAAATCCATCTGCTGTGTTGGATACCCACATATCTGTGCACTGAACTTTGTGCTTGTGTGTGCGAAGCTTGGAGCACGCCAAATAACACTGAACTTTCAACCTCTTATTACATGGAAAATCTCTTGAAAGTATTTTTGAGATATTATCAATGCAACATCATAGTATAACAATGGAACATTGGCTACCTGTGCACTAAAATTGGTGGTAGCTTGCCCAAACTATGGGTGCTCCCACTGACAATGTATATGCTCTGAAATCGCCGCGATGTTGCTGCCATGTCGAATATGTTCTAAATAACATATCTGTTTTCCAGACTGAGCTAAAGATGCCGCCTCATCAATCTGTTCCCTTTCCTCGGCAACGTATCTACGTTCAACGCAACTGTCCCGGTCTTGCAATCGATCCCCACCGGCGCCCAAGTACATCCATTCCACATTTGTCACTGACCGCATGCATTAATTTTTTCCACTAATTGTTTCTTTTCCAACAGCCATCCTCATCCACATTCGACGATTTAACTCTCATAAATCACGCGAGAACTTACTCGTATTAGACCAGCGTGCAAAGCCTATTTAGGCTTAATCGTTCATCGAGCACGTTAGATCGGATATTCCAGTTATGTCTCAATTGCGCTATAAAGAACTACTATATATAGAGATGCCACTATGATGCTGTAAATATAATTGCAACATGTTAGAAGACAATTTGACTAATTGGGCTGTGTTTGCTTGCATTCCATGAAAAAGAGGGTTTTGCTAATGTCTTTCTGTGCTTAGTGCAAATGCCTTTTGAATTTTGAATTGATTTTTGGTCTGCTCTAAATTTTGTGGGCTATTAGAACGCAGCGGGTGCCAAAAATGCACGCGCAGGAACCGACAAGGTCGAGTCTGCACGTGGGGTCTGCGTTGGGGAACGGACTGGGTTGTGGCGGTTGGTTAATGCCATTTCAGGAGGTAAGGGTGCCGGCGATAAACGGGTTACGGGACCCTGTCATCTTTTGAGGATGGAGTTATGTATTCAAAACTTTAAGAGCCTTTAAGGTTGGGGGAGCATGTGGGTGGCCTGGCGGCATACTCACGTTTAGTTCATCAGTGCAGATGCTGCGAAGATACGCGGTACCCGGAAACGTCATGTCTAGTGGCGGATTTACGCTGAAATGTCCATCACTTATATCGTCTATTTTTAACTGTTCGGTGTTTGTTGCATGGGTGATAGGAGCTCCATGTGTGGGTAGTTGATATTTCACAGAACAAAAATAAGACAATTATAAGCATAAGTAGTCAATATGTCCACCAAATCTTACTCCCAAATGAAATCAGCTTCAAGATTCAGCACAATTTTCCCCCACTGGTTTAGGCACACAGTTTTGGGACCCAGATTATGTTTAAATGAAAGGCACTTATGAAAATACACTCCATTCAGTGATCCATTCAATAATTCCATTTTCTTGTTCTGGTTGTGAGCAATGAGTAAAGGAGCTGAATCTAGAATAAAACCAAGTTGAATGAAATCAAAGTATGTGAATAAAGCACATGTGTCATCCAATTGGAGGATTTGTTGGATCTGTTTGTCACTGTGCCATGATATTGTTTTTTTTTTTGTTTTGTTTAGTGTCCCATGGTTTGTTGTTTTGGCTAGAAATGTGGGGAGCTCCTGATAGGTTTGCTTATTTTTTCTATAGAATCCAGACTAGGGTGGTGTCTACAAGCTTCCCTTAAGACATATACCAGTGTTTTTAATGTCCCTTGGCTCTGAACCAGCAGCTGTCATACTGTTGTCAGTTGTATAATTGTGTTTGTAGCCCAGTGATGTGCTGTCTTAGGATATATATACTGTCAGAAAAATATGTGCCATAAGTCTTTGATTGCCGTGAATTAACATTCATCCTGTTTGTAGTTCCATTCTTCAGCATAATGAAGGAATACAAATTTATCCTGTGTGCAGCAAAAAAGCAAACAATTCATCAATATAATAGTGCATGGAGAAGCTTAAGTCCACCTGCTGCATGCAGCTTATAACCAGGGTTTATGCCCATTGGAAAGCTTGGATGTGCTTGAAAAAGTGCAAAACATTATTAAAAAGTGTAAATGTACAATGCTTAGGTGAGCACTGGCTCCTTATATGCAAACCCCTAGAAAGATAATAGCTCTAACTGGTTCTTTGAATTACTCTCTGCTGATTCTTGGATCTTGGCTCTGGGCCTTTCCTCAGCAGACCATCATGTTGAATGTGGTGTTATGGTGGATCTTGGGCCATTGGAGGGTCTTGGGCCATATTCCATGCTGGACATTGGTTTTGGGTAGATCCCTTGGCATCATTCCATGCTGGTTGTTGGTTCTTCCATTTCCTTGTGGCCTGTACATGCTCTTGGCTGGATCTTATGGTCCAGTATGATATAGGTTTGCTCATTTTAGGCAGGATCATGGTTCTTTTTGGATCCTTCTGCATAACTTAGTACAAGATCATGTTTTTTTCTGGATCTCCAGTGTGATGCCAACTGGAACACTTCTCATTTAGTGTTGCAGGGTTCAGTAGTTTGGGCTTAGCCACACAAAGCAAGCTTCTGGCAAGAGTCTATCAACACTGGATTCCCCTCAAATGTGGCCTTTCAATCCGTGGTCAACCATAAGGATTTGACAGGTTGTCCCAATAAAGGTGTGTCCTTTTGATTTACTGGTATCCTTTACATACAACATTTGCTTTTAAATACCTGAATCTAAATAATGAAGGAAGTTCATTGGAGCTGGGGTGGTTTGTTTTGGATAATGATATCAGCACACTGATGGGCCCTGGAGAGACTTCCATTAGTAACAGGGAGTCAGCGATGCTCTCGCGGACTGGTAACAGATAATCGACGCTAGCCTTAGGGTCTCTTGTTCAACCAGCAAGTCCATAGTGCCGCCAGAGAGAGTATCATCACGTCCGTAGTACTCTGAGGGCTTGTAGCAGTAAAGGTAAGTCAGGGAGTGGAACTGGCGTGGAACTGGCGTATCACTTCAGCATTTCTTGAGTGGCATGCATCCAAGTAAGCTTCCAGTGGGGCATAAGTTCAGAAATGACTATGAGACCAGTGCAGAATGGCTTGTCATACAATTATCTGCGATCCTTGGCATAGCCAGGATATATTACAGGTTACTGTACGCAATATGTGACGCAAAAAGCAAGGGAAGTGGCAAAGTTTTCTCGCTGAAGTGGTCAGGAGGTGATTATCGCCGATCTTCTTGCCCGCCTCATTGCCAAAAAGGCCGGGCACCACCCCAGCTCTCATCAACGAAGGCCATGTGGAACCCTGGAGCTCTTCATCTAGTAAGCTGTCTTATTGTCAAACTCACTCAAGGCTCCGTTTTTACTCCGGAGCCCTCCTTATCCCCGCGTATGTGGGACGTCAGGCCCATCCTGGACCGTTACGCTCCCCCCTCCCCGTTCTGGTTTCGTCATGAGCATTCCATTTGAATGGGTTTCAGCTTGAGACGCGTTAATTTTCGCATACACGGTTCGCTGAAGCGGGACGACGTAAATGGTTCGACCGCGATACATCACGACCTGTCGTAAGCTGAGAAACTTTTCGGCGATCTGTGGCTTTAAAATCCGTGATGTTCGATATTGTGACGAAAACTGGCCTATGACCGTGGCATCGCTAGTGGTTGAGATGTTGTGAGTGATGTGTTTCGTTGCTGCATCTGCCCGCTGCATTTTTTTATCTATGGATGCTAACGGATCAGGTAGGGTGAAAGTCTGTAAATATTGTGCAATGTTGTCCAAATTGCCTGGTCATCTGGAGCAGCTCAGATGGCTCTCATTCAAACGGTTTTGGAAGTCATGTGTCACCATAGGCTGGGAGGCAACATTTTGACAGACGCTGTTGATGTGCCTCTGCGGCCTCCCGCGGATGATCAAAGAAAATTGGCAATGATGGTCCCTATCCTGTGCCAGGAAAATTTTAACCCAAGTGTCCAATACATTTATCCGGCTTTGATCCTGTTTTAAGCACCCCTGTCTTCACATCTCACCACGGTGTTGAATTCACATTCACGTCATACTTCATGATGCGCATTGTCCGTGTTTCAGAGTCAGGACGTCTTGGCGCGATCTCGTCGGATGAGAAGCCCGAATGGAAGGTGATCTGAACTGTCGGGACATTGAGTCTGAGAAGGACAGAGACGCCGTCGAATATGAGGTTATTCAAAAGGATTTCACGCACGAGTACTCAGCAGCATCCACCACTTCCCTCGCTGCTGATGGCGGAAAGCGATCTACCTACATCACACATCTTGCTGCCAATGGGTAAGCAATGGGCATCCTTATAGTGTAGACAAAGCTGTGCATCGGGCAGTTATGAGTGG